GATGAAACAAAGCTGAATTTGAGTATCAATTCGATAGCAAATCGGAAAGAAAACAGAGAAAAAGACGACGGAAGAAAGCCATGAAGTAAAGGGATAAGCATTAGAATATCTGACTGACTAAAATATAAGCTATGCGACGGAAAAGTTTTAGTTCAGGATGGACTTAGATTTAAAGCGCTGATCTGTGCTACAATTATAAAAATTACTTTAAAACATTTTTCATAGATGCATTCCACCATTCTCAGTGCTTGTTATTTTCTCATTTTCATACATTGACAATATCAACTTGCCAAGTCTGCAAGTATTGGTTAAGTAACAAAATAGGATTTATTGTGCAAAAATTTCCCGAGCTACCGATTTAAATGCGGCCTTAGCAAGCAAATCATCGAGAGAAGACATAACCATGTATTGTATGGAAAGGTAGGCAACTATAAATCAGTATTTTCTTTTTCGTTTTCTCTGTGTACCATCGATATCAATGGCACATTCACAACGATGGACATATGAAATGAAAGAACATTGATTCATCGATGTATATTTAAATCCCCCCTTCTCCGCCTGATATTCAAGCAGATACATTTCAATCGATGATAAAACTCACTGATCCCGTTTATTGTTGCTTGTTTTCATATTTGGAACACTATCTTGCTAGTCAAACTTTGTGTTTCCTTACTCATGAAATTTAGAGAGTTGAATCAAGTATAGAAAATTTATTAAAATATTTGTTTCTATGCTCCATACGTTATACTAACGCATACAGGTTTTAGTCGAGTGGAATATAAGTGAAAAAGCAAAACAACATAATTTTTCTCAAGTTAAAATCTGTTGAACAACTTTTGATTTTAACTATCATAGCTTTGTTTTGCTGTCAACAAAAAGTTCCCACGGCGAAAAACACAAATAGTTGTACGAAAACCATGCAAGCAAAATAGTCGTATAACATAAAAGAGAAAAATACACAGAAGAAAAGAAAACTTTGACTTCTGGTTAAGATGTAAACGATGGCTTATCGCCTATCGCCTACCTCAGCTACTTTTTTTTTGACAAGCTTGTACTTGTGTATCATGAGATGATGCACTAAAAATCAAAGGATGAATATGCATTACGTTTTAGATTTGTGTTTTGTCTTTGCTCATTACTTACCTTTGATGACCATTACATCGATATCTCTTTACTTGGGATCATCCCTGTGTTGCAAGGTAAGTATAATTGTTGCATAGATCCGAGGCATCGTAGACATCCCAACGGCGATTTATCAATCCTCTGTGCCGTGGATAAACCCAAAAATTATTGCCACGAGTAGGATCACCATGGTAAAAGATTTCGGATGTTAACGCTGAAAAAAAAATTGTAAAACTTATTTCAAAAAACGATTACATAGGAAAGTTCGAATGAGAATTTTCTCCATGCATATTTAACGAAAATATAGTTTGGGATACATACTTTGAATCTGTAACATTTTTGTAGAGATTTTTTCGAGCTTACATGGATAGTAAAACGAAAGAAGCTTTAGTTCCAAAACTCTTCGTTGATACTAAAGGAACTTAGAAATCCAATTTGTTTTCTGGGAATATGAAAGAAGATTCTCTCGGATGATTACAATATTGTGTGCTTCTTATTACCTGATAAATGTGGAGACAGTAGTTCTAAATGATAGATTTCTTTCTGGCAGAGCAGAAAACAAATGTACCTTCAGAACTTGAGATCTTAGTCAAAATTGAATAAAGATAAAAATTCTATGAAGAGTATGCTACTTTAGTGAATTTGTATTTGTGGACATATAATCGGCCTGAGTGTAGGTGGCGGGTGTATGGGTGTGGATGTGAATGTAGGAGCATGTGGGTTTACGTGCAGATCTTAGTCTAATTTTATAAAGTTCGGAACCGAAACGAGCAGTAACACCCTAAGGAAAAATCATCTATTGTAAACAATGGGAAAGTACTAAAACTAATGCGACTAGTTAAATGTTTTTTAAGTATGCGACTTCGTGAAAGGTAGGATATCTTAGGATCCAATTCGAGTTTTTTTATGGTGGATTTGGCCAGCAAACCGTTCTAACACCCCTATTCTATTTTCCAAGTACAACTCGACGAGTTGCATTGAATCGTGTAAACTGCTACTTGATCTATATAATACTCACGGAGAAAAACCAAAATTACGATTGTTTCCTCCATTGTACGAAGTTCCATAAAAAGTCATTTTTGGGCCGATTCGGTTCAAAGACCGTTCCAACAAAGCTAACCAACGTTTCTACTTCAACTCAACACTCTCTGTTCAATGCTAAAAACTGTTACTCCATACATCATATACTTATCGAGAAATCATATATATACCGCCCAAAATGATCGTTCAACCTAGTATTTCTTGTGCCGATTCACCTAGGAGTGGTTTCAACAAAATCCTGACATATTCCAAGTGTAATCTACGATGCTCTATCCATTGATGAAAACCGGATCCCGATAGAATGCACAGTTGCCGAGTTAATATCCCAATCCAAGGCCTGCTTCCTGTTTTGGAAGTATTTGCTCGGCTGGTTCGGTCACAAGTGCGTTCGAACAAAATTCTGGCACGTTCCAAGTGTAATTTTACATGCTCTGTCTATTGGTGAAAATCAAATCCTGATAGGATCAACAATTTTGGAGATCATGGTCGAATCTCAGGTTCCTATCTATGTCGAATATGTGGTCTACGATTCATGTAGAATCTTGAGAGTGGTGCTTTTTATTGACATCTGGTTTTAAATAGCCAATAGAGCATGCTGAATAATAATTGGAATGTGTGATGGTCTTTTCGAGCGCTTTGAGAGGCGAATTGGTCCGAGAAATATTTTCTGGAGATGGCAATGGAATCCGCATTGAACCATTATCTTCGAAATGGTTAATTCTATGAGGATCTGGCAAGGAAGAAACGGCGGACTTGAAGTCGTTTAAAGTAGCTGAAAGTACCATTCAACTAACCCAAAGTACTACTCAAGCACTCCACAATAGCCCTCAAGTAGCTAAAAGTAACTTCAAGTTCAAAAGTCCACCGTTTCCCTCCTGGGATCTGTTTTTTTTTTTCATCAATGAAAAGAGCATCGTAAATTACACTTGGAATATGTCAGGATTTTGTTGGAACGCACTCCTAGGTGAATCGGCGCAAAAAATACTAGGTTGAACAATCATTTGGGCGGTATATGTACAATTTCTCGATAAGTATATGATGTATGGAGTAGCAGTTTTCAGCATTGGATAGAGAGCGTTGAGTTGAACTAGGAACGTTGGTTAGCTTTGTTGGAACGATCTTTGAATTGAATCGGCTCCAAAATGACTTTTTATTTGAACTTCGTACAATGGAGAAAAAAAATCGTAATTTCGGCTTTTTCTTGGTGACTATTATATGGATCGAATAGCAGTTTGCACTATTTGATGCAACTCGTCGAGGCATACATGAAGAGGAGAATAGGAGTATGGAAACAGTTTGCTGACAAAATTCGTCCTAAAAAAACTCGCATTGGGATCTAAGATATCCTAAGTGTTTATGAAATGAAGATGATACTAAGATCCAAGGTTTGATGAAATGATTTTGATGATTGTGTAATAACTAAAAACATGCAAATTTTTGAATTAAAGTTTTTAAATTTATGGTTTAGATGAAGCTTTTCTCATGTCTTAAGACCCTAAGTGAGCTATTTCCATTGAAAAGAATCAAAGCTTGGTATTTCTCATCTTACAATAAAATTAATTTGGCCATCAGCTTCTTCTATGTACCATAAGTAAATTGAGTGAAAAATTATAGAAAAACTTTCAATTAAATTTAGATTACCTTGCTTCTTTTCTGCTTTTGTATCTGTTGCAGTTGATCTTGGTTCTGATTTTAAATTAACTTCTGTTGAACGAGCATCTGTCATGTTTTTCTTTTCATTTGTGGGTTGGGCTTGCTTTGTATAAAAAGAATGTAACTTTTCCAAAAGTCTATTGTAAGATCTTGGTGTTATGAGGTCTTGGATAGGTTTCAAATCAGTCAACCAACCATGTTCAGCAACATCATCTAATACTAATTCATATAAATTTCCTTTTTCTACAATATTGCTTTGTTTAAGTGATGAAAATACATTTTGACGATAATATTCACGTAGTGCTTTAAATAATATTGACTGGCTTTTTAATTGTTCATTCATTACATTTTTAATAATATAATCCGAATATTGTGTTATTGATTTTAAACCACCATTGGTTATTGTGAACCATAGATCATTGAAAACATTGGTTTTCTTCAAACACTCATCATCAATACCTTCAAAAAGAAGTTGTAAAGTAATTGATAATATTGGACAATTTTTCATATATGTGTTTCCATATTCAGCTGTACGAGTTAACAAACGTTCATATATATCATGATTCTCTCCAATGCGATATTGTTCAAGAAATGAAATAAACCATTGATTAGATTTGCCATATTGTATTTCGCATTGTTGTTGAAAATACTTTTGTAATAACATCATCAATTTGTTATCATTACCATTCATGACTTCTTTATAGATTTTCGATATAATATCTTCTTTATATTTGATCAATGAATGTCGACCATTTTCCAACAAATTATTAACAATTTCATCTTTATTTTCATTATCATCTATTTGTAAAATGCATATAATTTCGTTTGTAATTGACTTTTTTATATCATCACTAAGACTGGTGCTTTCTCGTTGTTCACCAAAAGATGGACATAATTCTGATGTATTTAAGGATTCAGCCATCTGTTAGGCTAAATAAGCTTGCAAAAATCGATACATAAATATATGATCTGAATCAAAAAAACCGTTAGCCAATTCAACAAATTCAACGCAAATAAATGCTAAAATCTAAAAGTATTAAGCATGTCAGTGCAGTTTCTTGCTACTATGATGTCACTTGATTTTAAGAAATATTCTCATTATGAATGTATATTAGGTTTGTTTATATGATCATCGAGAGTTTTGTCTCATTTTAAGTAAAGAACTTGAAAACTATAAATTATTCACAGTTCTTCTGTTTAATATTTACACAGTTCGATAAATCCGATTATTGAGTCTTCCGAAGTCAATCAGTTTTAATCTCGGATTAAATCAGAAATTGTCGGCTTCTGACTTCATTAGATCAAATTTCATCGAATAGACTACGAAATCCTGTGACACAGACTTCTCACGAACATTGAAACCGAAAAGGCAGTTATCGAATGCGAAAAGTTCTGATTAATGGATTCAACGCGGAGATCTTATCGAATCCGACGAGGAAACTTAAGAGACATGAGAGAATCAGATCGAATTTAATTTATGAGTATGCCATACTTGTTCTCTTCTCTATTCATTATCAGTTGTTAGTATATAATGAATAATCAGATTTAGAGTACTAATCGTAAAACCTTACCGCTTACCATTATTATTCCTTTACTAATAACCAAATGCTTGATAAACACAGTTATCGTTATTTAAACTCAGCCAAAAATTTTACCTGACTGTGAGGCGAAAAACCTTCTTATATATAGATATATACAAGTCAAATAAAAGGTAGTGAAAAGCAATCAAATAAAGCACTATAGAGAGCTATCATCGAGAACTAGCAAATGGCAAATAGAGCATAATACTATAAAAGCAGATAAAATATAACAAATAAAATAAAAGCATCAAGATTAAATCACCTTATCAGTGTCGTAAAAGAACAAGCAGCAACCCCCCAGTGTTAGCATTAGGGCCATAAAGAACGCACGTATACCAATGTTAACGAAGTCGTAAACGATCATAAACTTCCAAAATACGACACAACATCAACTTCTTAAGATGCATTGTATTTCGCTCCCATGGATGTGGGTGTTTGGGTGTGGGCGTGGATGTCGATGTTTGAGGCCAGTGCGTTCTTGCAAGTGTTAGTGTGTGAATCCGGTGTATTGGTGCAGCGGTGGCTGTGGGTAAATGAAGAGAACACAAACTCCGACATCCACATCTACGCCCACATTCACACTCGAGCCATAATCACACACCCACTCACACCCACACCCACACAACCACACAACCACACCCATACTCACACTCCACAAATGAGATATTTGTAATCAGTATGTTTGGTACTATTGAATTATAAAGACTTGTGATAGAATGGTGATAAACTTGTTTTTTTGATACCTGAAGGAGACCCCATGTGAGAAACATTGGGCTGTGATAAAGTAGAAAATAAAATTGTGAAACATATTCAGGGTTCAATGCTGATTCTCAAAGTAATAAAATTAGGCTAAAATTTTTCGAAGTCTTCAATCGATAATTCGACGCAACTTTTGACGCGTTAGAATGTGATTAATGTTTGATAATAAACTAATAAATCAAAGGCATCAACTACATACTTCACTTTATCTTATTTTATTACATCTTACTTGCTTGGTAAGGTTAGAGATACTTCACTTTATTTCACTTTACTTTGCTTTACTTTTCGAGTAAAGCAGATTTGCTTCACTTTATTGAGTAAAGTAACCCAACTTTACTTTACTCAATAAAGTAAAGTAACTGTACTTTACTTTATCAAGTAAAGATAAAGTGCCACCCTAGTCGTGATTGGTGAAACCCTTTTCGCTGCACCTTCACCTCCGGCGATTGTATGTATTTTGGTGTTGGTCGTGATTTATGGAACTCTTGTCGCCACATTCTCACCCACTGCAATGGCTTGTGTGGGTAAGGTTTTGAGAGTCGTGATTGTTGAAAGTGATTTGGGATGAAACTTGAGAGTGGAAAGTTGAAAGTTCAAACTTGAAACTTGCAAAAATCAAGTTGAAGTTCATACTTGAAAGT